ATGTCTGAATTCAGCTTTCCATGGAGATTCAGAAAATTTAATGATATATATAGGGTTTTCCATTTGAAATAATCGACGCGGACATGATAATTCCAACGTGGATCACCCTGTATATTCAATTTCCCCGTATGAATGTGGAGAATTGGAATCAATAGTCGACCTATTTCAAGAGTTTTTTCAAAAATCCATAGTATGTCTGTCTGGCTAGGGTTTAGCACCACCAGAACTGTCTGACTACTGACGAAACATCTTCTAATAGTTACCCAAGTAACAAGTATAAAATTCAGCTTTTATACTTTAACGAAAGTTGAGTTACAATTTATATAGGTTTAAGGGTGTCTGGCAAGGGGTCGCCACCGTGGCAACGTGTCTGGCAATGGATGACGTGGTTTCTAATATTGTCCCGAATAAAATTTAAAAAATTACCCCTCATAGTATGACGAAAGTGAGTTGGTATTTTTAGCACCTTTGCTCCCTGTAACCTATCAAAGGCACCATGATCGAAAATAAGGAAGGTCTGGCGTTCATGGGATCTTGCTCTATTATGGCAGTGACATTTTAACGCCATTATAGGATCTATCAGACGTCCCCTTCGTCATTTTATGCAAAAAATGACGTCAATCAGACGACACTCTGCTACCTGTGGAAAATCATGATGGAATTTATATTTCCACCATGGGGTAAATGGCAGACATGAATCGATATCAATGTGTAAGAATAAAAGAGCCCAACTATGCAGCAACGCGCACAATTGATTAAAGGGATTGCATTATGTGTGTTTGAACTGTTAACTCTGAAAAAATGGCTGTTCTCCGCATTAGTAATAGGCCCTATGTATTTTTCTCGAAATTGCAGATATCATGCACTATTTTCCTGGACTTATAACGTGTAACGCATGTATAACTACTTATAGACTATAGAGGAACTATGCTGAGCCTCATATCATGTTCAATAATGTTTTTATTTCAATATTGATCCAGTTCGAAACTATACCTACAGAGGAAAGACAGATTTGATAGGGTTAGGTAGGAAATTTCAAAATAAGAAGAATTACCTGAATGGAACTTAGGGGTGCCTGAAACCCCAAGACTGATATAACATGAGAACAAAAAATATTATATTGGTTTTGATTGTTTATTCACGTCTTACTGGGAATTACGAATTCGTTTCATGAATAGGTAGTAGAAAAAAGTATAGGTACCAAGATCATTTTTAATATAAATGATGATAATAAAACTAGCTGTTATGGTGACCATTTCATTTTGGTTCTCTAGGTACATAATATTTCATTCCATTAGTTATTTAGTATGTCCTCCACTTTTCGATTAAAAAAAGATGAAATTATTTCATAATAATACTGAAAGTACGTAGTATAGGTACCTATCAACATACATTTTAAAAGTTTTAAAAACGAATAGGATGTATTCAAATAAGCTTTATACTATTCCGGATATATTCAAATGCTTTATTTCGAATGTTTTCAGAACGTTTTTCGGGTGTTTTTGACTTACTTTAATGAAATTTCGAATGTACCGCTTCAAAAGTTTCTTTGTTGAGGATATTTGTTATTGCCAAAAATATTTCCAATGTTCTAAAAATGATTAGTTCAATTTCATTATAGTAATTTGATGGTAGTGTAAGAATAATATGAGAGTCTAAATCGTATAATGTATTATCAATCCTCATTGGTCATTATAAGTCATATGGGAATTCGTTATTATTTGATGAGTATTTTGTGCAAAAATTCTACCGAGGCATATGAATGCGTTTTATTTCAATTTGAGATTGTTTATAGTCTCAATTGAAGTTGAAAAGGTATACTTTTCAAAAATGATTACAGTCGTTAATTTGTGCGGTGTTAAATAAATCAGCCAGGTTTCACATGAAATCATCTAACCATTGTCAATCTGAATGAAAAAGCTAGTTTGTGAATAGGTACAATTTGTCTGATGCTCACTGACCCAGAATCTGTCTGCTGTGTCATTATCATAGTTTAGTACCTATGTCTTCTTCTATTATTTCAAACCATTTGAACTGTAAGTATCCAGAGATATAAGACATTCAATAAGGAGTTGATTGACTGGTTTTGAAGTTGTAATTTTTCATGTGGAAAATCGTTTTTCTATTTCATATTTTCCTCCACATTCCACTAGATCCAAACCTTACTCTAGATCCCTAGTATGTGTGAAACATCGATTTGTTTGTATCACTCATAGTTTTTTGTTTCACAATTGACAAAACCAATTTTGATGAAATATGTGTTTTTGCCAATATATTAACTTCACTATGAACTAATAATTCCCTGTGAATGACGAAATTTCATGAATTTTACATGGAGTTGCGAAATACGACCGACAACGCTTCAAAGCAGGTGATTATCCTTTAATAATTATGATTATTTATATGCAATAACTCAAGAACATTGTTTGGATTTAAATTCGATATACGGTTTCGTATTTAGATAGGTTTTATTAGTTATTAAATATAGAAATTAATTTTGGATATTTGATGTAATATTGCGTGTATATATCTACACCACTGATTACATTTCTTACTGTTCGATTTTGTTCCAAAACGTCGTATTTCCTTTGACTGAGCAAACATAAACAGTTTTCGAGGTATTTGACCCAATATAAAAACTTATTGATGCATAGACCTTTTTCATAATTTTCAATAGCAGATTCCTTGTAATTTTCTATTGAGAATTGAGAAAAATGACTATGCACTGATTTGCGTTTTTTCAAAAAATTTGAACAAGAAACTCGCAAAATTAATCGAAATTTCAACAGTGGTGTAGAAAATATATGGAAGAGAAAGTTAGAACTGCCCCTGTGGCGCGTCACTGGGCGTCATGACCCAAGTTGCTTTCTGTATCGTCTAAAATTGAAGATTCTGGAGAGAGAATCATACACCAAAATCAATTGAGAAAATTTAGCACTTTCCAGTTATTTTTCAAAGAACGATTTCTATTTGTTAACTTTACACCTTATATCTCTAAAACAAACCACTTGGGAACCTCATAGGTTCTCATATTCATAAAATTTCTTGCAACACTCATAATTTATTCTCAAGAATATAAACACGGAAAAGTAGGTCTGCATGTCAATAAAATGCAAACAGTAACAGTTTATCACAGCATCGACGAGTTTCCGGTTCCTACTCAAATTCAAAAAGCATAATTGGATTTATTCAACATGAAATTGCTCCAAAAGAGTTAAGGATATCTTCAAAAAGGTAAAATGAGACTTAATGCTTTTTTTTTACAATTCCTTACTCATGTGGAGTAATTCATTATTGCATAATCCCATTTGAGTATAGATGAGGAGAGATTTTTGTGAAAAACAGAATAGGTATAGGTAATTGACATGACCAGGAAAAAATTTCAGGTCAGGAATAACAGATTGATAACTTTTAGTTGAAACTATTGATCTATACACAACAAATGAAAGGGCATTCAATGAGGGTGTCTAAAGAAATTGTATGACCAACAAGCGAGCATTGACGTCATCACTATATGTCTGTTTAGACTCCTTGTAGATTTTATCAGAGCTGGCTTATATATTCTCTGTAACCTCATTATCGATCGTCTTTCAGTCATTTTTACGTTGTTTGTGCTCGGTGTATTGTGCCTAATGTGTACTTTTGTTATAGTTTAGCTGTTTTGTCATCGATGTCAAGGATCTTATTTGTATGTCCGCTGTTTACGTCTCATTTCATTACAGTTACAGCGATGATATGAGGGGTGAAGTATCAAAATGGACTTTTATCGATAAAATCGAGAAAAACGTTTGGGAGAAGTATATCAATGCACTTGTCATTATCATCATCACTTATTAATTTCCATAAGACAATTATACATTGTATTGGTAAAGTCATCATCATTAAATAATGTATACAAATGTTTGAAGAAGAAGAAGAAGAACAGAGGAAGAAGTATATAGGTACATTTAGATAAATACTGAGATTTAACACAGTGATGTTGAATTGAATAATTTGAAGATAAATACCCTACCGAGGTTTGGTTACTTTCTTATTTACAACCATCATATTTCGATCAGAATCAATGAACCTATGTTTCGTTCTGAACATACCTGAATTATTACATGAGTGAGGGCGGGAAGTAGAGGTGTGTAATGTGACAGTTCCCAACCTTGTAACAGATCGCGTCTGAATTGCGGCAACCAAGCATACACGGCTGAATAATCGCGAGTTGAGCCAGGGTCATTTATTTAAATCGCGCGCCTATTTCCGTTCGAAAGGAAGTCAGGGTTATTCGAACGGGGGAAGGGGAAGAGAAGGAAATTAGAAGATGGTGCCTCAATGTTGAAACTGTAAAGGTTATTGATTTTAAATCATTGTGCATCCAGTTTTGCAGAGGGTGTTTTTGGTTTTATTGTAGCGTCTACGCTCCTGGCAGCGCTGGACCTCTCGCCTATGCCCTTTTGTAGACTTGGATGAATTTAGACTAAAGAACTGGTCTCCTTTCGCCACTGGGTTTTTTCCTGCCGCATTTCACCTCTGTTCCTCCAGTTTGAATAAAGATCTGCCACCCGACGAGCAATTTTTTACTCAGCCGAACCCCGCAAACGCAGACCCCTGAGATTCATTGCAACCTTCAATGACGTTAGTAATGACAACATTACATATATGGTTGTAAATGAACATATATTATTCCATTCTTCATGAAAAGTGGAGATTGTACGTTTTGACACTACACCCCTCATATATGGTATGTTTTGATTCTCCAAAGCCGGCCGGTACCTTATAAGTACTGCGCATACTCCTCAACCAACTTTTTCAAGCGTAAAACTGAAAACTATCATTGTCCTTTCATTTATCTTTATAGGTCAGTGGTCACTAATTTTTCAACGTTTATTTTCCTCAATGAGCAGACAACATATGATACACCTAATCATCTACACCAGCCTTCTCATTTGGACCGACAATGGTTAAACGAAACCACCCTAAAACTCCAATCACAAGTACTCCCGGCCGTTTACCTGATGCGAGCGCAGCGTGCCGAAGTTGTCTCTGCCCCGGTAGCTGTCTCTGCCGTTGTAGGCGGCGTCGGGCTGGAACTGGAACAGCGTCTCGGCGTTGTGGTGGGGCGGGCCTTTGCGCAGCGTGCCCTTGGGCGAGTGCAGCTTGGGCGGCGGCTGCGGCACCAGCACCGGCTCCGCGTACGTCACCTCTTCTTGGGGCAGGAGTTTCGGCTCGGCGGCTATCCGGCTGCAAGAATAGGAGCGTTTCGATCATCACTTTGGTCTAGGTCGGGTTGTTTGAGCGAGAGGAGCAACTCAGTCATCTCCACAATTTATAGGCTATATTCCGAATTCAACAGCCGGCAGTGTCAGATATTTCACTGACTTTGTTGAAATTCAGTACTTTATTTTCAGTAGGATTACTCAAGCTGGAATTCGGAACAAAGTCTACAGCAGTGAGCTATAACTTTTCAGGTATTCACAGATTATTTATTTATAATTATGTTTGCAATAAAACAGATAAAAAGTAAAATAATTTGTACGTGAACCAGAACTGATTATTTTGAAAGGGATACCATGATGATTTCTTCTGATAATCATGAATTAAATCATAGGCAGTCAACTACAACATTTCTGTTTGTGCCCTATACTCCTAAGAGTATGTCTGTATGTCCACTTCAATATCAACAGATTGCTGTGATTCCACACTACTTTTAAATGTTCAGTATTGTCGAGGGTAAATACATGAGATAATGTTTTTATCGATGAATGTTTCGAGAATCAAGGGAGTGGAAAAATCGCGAGAGCATGCTCGTGCGATTGTTTCTACTTCCCTTGTTTAGAGATTTTTTGCCAAATGACAATAAACTTCGAATACAACTTGACATATATTCATCAATAAAATCATTTCTTGAATGTATTTTACGGAGATTAATACACAACTACAGTATAAAGACAATTTGGTTTGCAAAAGATGAAGAAAACTCGAAAATTATCTGACGGTAATGACGGTGACAGCTGACAGTTGTTCTTAAAGTATTGAAGTGTGTTGTTTGAAAGCAAGGCATATTTATCGGTTAATGGGAAAGCTAGGTAGCTTTTTTATCACTATAAATGCGTGGTGATTGGTCGGTTCTAAGAAATTCAAGAAATCCTATTGAATCTTGGAAGAGGCGTGTATTATTCAGCAGAAATCTGAGCCGGAAATATTCAGTATGTCTGCTCTCGAGATCTGTCAGTTTCAGTAAATTTTGTTGATTGAAGATCAGCAGATTCAGTAATGCCAGTTGAATTCGGATTATAGCCAAAATATGAATCATACCGGGTGACAGCGAAATCAATGGCCAGCGTGTCATTCAGTTAGTTTTCATGTAGAACTTTCGACATTTGGATCGAAGATATAGTTCCTTGAAACCCATATTCTCCATGAAAAAACAATTGAATATCACTTTGGGACCTAGGACGAGAATTTCGGATAGAACGAAATGGCGGAGCAGGAGATATTTGAAAAAAATCAATATAGCGACAAGGTTACATCATCGATCGAATTTTCGTGAAGCAACTCAATATATCATATAAACGCACTACGATTATCTTATGAAACCTGCGAAAATTTTTATTCATCGCCAATCAGGATCTTTAGTATTTCTTTCAAATGAAATTATTTTCTCTTGAGTTTTCTCAAAATTTCAAATAGGAAATTGTACTTTTTTAAGTTAACATTAAAGTGTGAGTGATTATTTACAGATATACAGGGTGTTACATAATTCAATACAAATATTTTAATGACATATTCCTGGGGTCAAAATAAGACTTTTTTTTCCTATAAACATGTGTCCTAAAATCCATCCCCTCCAAGCTACAGACATCTCGTGTAATGGTAAGTTGAGGAAAGTGAATCGATTGTGACATGACGGTTATGACATACCACAATGTCAGTTTGGCATAAAAGATATTAATTAATCATTAGTTACCAGAGACAAACATAATCATAGCTCACTAAGTTTTTTTAGTATAATAATTTGAAAATACACCCCTTTCATTTACTAGCGATTTTCTCTAAAACGGTTAGCTAATTCAAGAAAATGCAAGAGACTGAAATGTATGATTTTTTAGTGGCCAATTCAACGATGATGTTTGAATTCAATTTTTTTTGGAGGAAATAGAAAATGTTTGCCATCAAATCTGTATGCAACCCTCATTCACCCCTTTCGATTCGAGTTACCTTATTTTTGAATCAAGAAATGAATAGATCGTCTAAAAATACAAGTGCCTGTGAATTTTCAAAATATTTGATGCATAATAAATTGTAGCCACAATTCAAAATTTAAGATTTTTTTTGCGCATCTTGCGATGTCTGTAGCTTGGAGGGGGTGGATTTTAGGACACATGTTTATAGGAAAAAAAGTCTCATTTTGACCCCAGGAATATGTCATTAAAATATTTGTATTGAATTATGTAACACCCTGTATAGATTTTCAAAACAAATTATTTCTAATGCATATTTATGAAGGTGCAATAAAAAATCCCCATGACATTTTTGCATGCAGCTGTCAGTTGAAAATATTTCGAAAAATCGATCATAGATCCTCACCTGTTCATATTTTGACGTTGTTCGAAATATTCGTACTCGGTATCTGGATAAGGCAGGTTATCGTCTTCATCTTTGTGACATTTTCTGCCGCAAAGGTAACCGGCAAAAAATCCTATTACTAATGCAGTTACAGATGCTGCTACCACAGCCATGATGAGCGTTTCAACAGAATACTGGTTGGGAAGAGCATCGGCAGCAGTCACTGCAGGACCTGAATATAAAAATGTTTGGTTATTGAAAAAAATACGAGTCACTGCAGAAAAATAAATTCTGTACAATGATGCCGTGATGTTCTTCAGTAATTTTGGTTCTCCTTTCTGATCCCTGTTATTTTATTTCGTCCGAATAATTCACTTATCGACACGCCTATAATGTTTTTATGCCGAATGTACCTATGTACCTATCCGCCTTTCTCCTTCAATCACCATAATGTTATTGAACGCACAAATTCGATTTGAAATATTGTCTGCTGTTTTTTATGTGAGACGAATCATTTCAAATATTATGAACCATGAATTTTTGCTAATAATGGATTTCGATTTTTCGTTTCTCAATTTGAGTTTGTTTGGTCTCATATTGAATGAGTTCATTACTGTTTTGTCTGTAACTATTTTTATTTCTTTACTTGATTTACATAGGTAACCCAACAGAGTAATGAAACTCCAATTATAGGGTTACACATCTGATTTGATAGAGTGTACACTAGTGTAAGTTGATATAGAGAAACTAAAATAATATCCTAAAAATTATCACCAGAAATAAACAAAAATACAAAAATCAAAAAACAAAAAAGTACCAAAAAAGTATTGGACTGAAAATTTGGATACCGTCATGAATCAATTCAAATCGAAAACTTGTCCAGATTCTTTCCTGACTCTATGTAAAGTGCTATTGAACAGATCGATGTGGCTGAAATATGAGTTATTTAAATCTTGTACCATGTATGGAGCTGAACTTCTTGCATAGTTCGTCTTATGATTTGGTAGGTAGAACAAATCATGTGAGCGGGTAACGTGTGTGAGTACATTGAACGAGAGCCTGTTGACTATGTAACTACTGTCTACTCTGTTGCTGAGAATTTTGAAAAGAAATATAACGTAGCTTACAATTCTCCGAGAGGAAAGTTTGCTGAGATTGAAATGTTGTAAGCGACTCTCGTATGATAAGTGAGTTTGAGGCCTCTTGAACTTGAAAAACAATATATTCATAAACTTCATTTGAACTCTCTCTACTCGTTCAATGTATTTATAATAGTAGGGGTTCCATACTATCGATGCGAACTCGAATAACATGAATATGTTAATTCTCAATTTGAAACTGTTTATACTGAATTCTGAATTTGAAAGTGATAATTTCCAATTTCATTGTATTTATTCTCTTTTCGATTTTTTTTAGATGTGTTTAATTCCAATTTAACCCATTAGCGCCGGAATTATTTTTTCTTATTTTCCTGATATTTTATGACCATTAACGAGTGTAAAATGCTTTCGAAAGACGAGAAAAGTTCAAAGAATCATAAATGGAATTAAGGTTTTCCAAAAATCTGCTGTTGCCATACGGCAACACCAGCTATTCTGCATGGCTACGTCTAATATCCAAGTGATTAGGGGCCCGTACGAATAATTCCTATGCGGTAATACCTAATATTTTGATCCACTTGATCAGTTTCGCCCATATACAAATAGTACCACTTGATTACTTCCAAAAACAACGCATACCACCTGGTTTCTTCTGACAAGTGCTGAATAACTTCGTCGTTTCCCGCTAAGTCATCCAATTATTTGACCCACCACATATTGGAATGGGTGTATTAGCGGAATTCCGAAGAGAAGATGCGTGAAAAGAGGATGATACGTACACGATCGTGACGTCTATGTTTCACGTCAGTTCAAATGAACTCAAAGGTTCACAAATTCACGTGGCCGAACCAGTTTACTCACAACGAAGAAATCGAAATTTTACAAGGGATAAAAAATACTCAAAAATGATTGAACACTCGAAGAAAAATAGATAGGAAGTCATTTAGCGCATGTACAAAAAAAATATGGGGGTAAGTGTGTACTTGACCCCCAGTATTTTGAATATTTGACAGTTATTTTCTGTTTTGTTTTCCTCACACGATGTAACTCTTGGTGCTGAAGTAATGTACCAATTTTGAGATTAATATCTTATTGAAAACGCGAGTAATTAAAAAATAGCAGTTTCTAATTTCCAACTTTGACACCCTGTATATCGAATATGAAGGGCTACAATGAAAAATGGTATCAAGAAATTCATATTGTTTTTATTCAAGGAATATATGGTTGATGAATTGACCTCCTTTTAACGGACACCCTGTATGTTTTGTCCTGGATCTATGTAATGCATTATTTCCATCCACCTCGACCCATCCAATCATCCACTCACCGCTGCTCTCGTACGCCTTGTCCTGCACGATATTGATGACCTGCCCGTCGGGCTTGTCGTTCCCCTGCGCCCCCCGCTCGCCCCCCTCCCCGTACTCGGGCCTGGTCGAGCTCAGCCCGCCCACCGAGCCGGCGTCCTTGCCCGCCCGGGGCGGCGGCGGCGGGCAGGCCGCGTGTTCGCCCGTCGCCACGCTCTGGAAGAAGTAGCTGGCCTCGCCCCATCGGCCCGCGCCGCCCAGAGATCGGCACCTGCCCTGCACCTTGTCCCAGGCGCAGTAGGGGTCTTGCAGGGCGACGCATTCGCTGGAAGCATGAGAGGAAATATGTACCGGGTGACACGTTAAAATAGACCGCCCCCCCTCAGCTCTTTTTTTGTTACAGTAGAAGAAATGAAATGAAAAAAGATACTAACAGCAGCAAAAAGTGTATGATTTTCAAATAGAACACCCTATATATTTCCTCACCATTGGAAAGATATTTCGAAGAGCTTTTCAATAATACCGTACTCAATATATTCATTTTTCCCCGCACCATTTACATTGAAATCTTGTCTACGGTGAAATTTTGTAAAAATCTAGGATTGGATAGATCGAATCATGCTGAAGAAGAAATGTCCTTTGGTCCAAGGTCCGTTAAGCCCGTTAAGAGAATCTATTAGCTCTTGAAGCCAAACGACATAACCTCTACCAGAACAGCACATCCTGGTGTATGGTTTTGGCTAATATGATATTTTTGAGTTGTAATAATGATCATTCATGTTATGTCAGTAAAAGTCATTGAGCAAAAGCGTATTACTTCGTTCAAATACATATAAGATGGCTCATCAGAATAGGTTTCGTTGCTTTATTATTTATATATAATTTTTTGCGACCATTGATTGGTGCTTTACGTTATACGGAAAGGCCACTGATAGTCCCCGGTCGAGACTTGCAACGTATTTGGCTTCAAGAGCTTATAAGTTTTTTTAACGGGCATAACGGACCTTGGACCAGAGGACATTTCTTGTTCAGCATGATTTGATCTATTCAATCCTAGATTTTCACAAAATTTCACCGTAGATTTCAATGTAAATGGTGCGGGAATTGTATTCCGATATTTCTGAGGCTAATATGGTGCTTCCAGAAGCGAAGTTACTATACACGGATAGATGGATGAAATCACGAATGGTGGGGATAACTCTGTGAGAACATTGCCAGATAATTGATATTCTTTAAATAAACTGCCTCGCACTTGAAGTTAGACAAGCAAAAATATCGATCATTTTCAAACCGTCATTACCTTGGATTGGCTCAACCAATTTCACAATCTCTTTTTAGATTGTAATAGCCCATTTCATTGAGTACAACTTCTAAACATTTTTTATTTCTCCTTCCTGTCATGATGGCCTACAGGGTGATATCTAAATGAGTGATTATTTTCGAAAAGTTTGGGATTGCCCCGTTACACAGGGATTTTTAAAGATGTTTTATTGAGAGCGATAAAATGAAAAATGAAAGTTTCCTCGAAATGGTTTGGGATTCAAGAGGTGAAATATTGAAACAAAACCTCACTTTTCTGTTAAACATCGTGAAACATCGATACGAATCATGTTTTTTGGGCTATTCATAAATTCAATCATGCCATTACATTGTGCTGTTGTACAATACACAAAAAATGCAGCGAGAGATGAAGGAATATGATTTTTCAGGTAAATAGTGATCCCACATAGTTTTCATTATGAAAGTCCTTAGCATGTGATGTCTTTTCCGCAGAAGAAATGAGCAGAATAAATCACTATGTTCAACTAGTCACTCTGGCAATATGGCAATATAATAAGGTCATAAGGATCAGTGTAAGCCACAATTGATTTGAGATGAATTTCAATCAATTTATAATTCATAATGGTAAAAAAAAAACAAATCGGTCCAGTACTTCCGGACCATATTCAATACAAACCAACAAACAAACATACAAACAAACAAACAAATATGTCCCGTTTATAATATTAGTATAGACTAATCATAATATGTATACATATTCTCCATGGTAGGAGAGAATATCATTATCCAGGGACCAAACTGAACCATTATATTTTTTCCACCATTAGCAATATGTCTTCCAATTATTATTTGTTCGTGTAGAACTGAAGTATTTTGAAAGCGCATATTTTTCACTCGTACTAGTAGTGATGACGCACGAGTATTACTGCCATTCTTGTAGAATTTCAGATAAATGTCACTTCAGTTTCAACTCTTGAATATACTTGAGGGTATTATTGTGAATGAATATAATTCCATAACATTTCAATTAATATACAGAAACCAGATATTTTGCGGAATAAAGTCGAAAGAATTTTCACAACTGACTCGATTTCAATTAATTTTCTAGTTCTTACCACCTTCCTTGCTTTTGGTGCTCTGGGAAACGTCTGATATTCCGTTTGGTTTGCAATTGATTTCATAAGATTTTATGTTTCGAATTCCAGTATTTCAATCCCATTAGAATATATGAAATTTCAGTAGTGATGATCGACATTATACATGATTATTTATTTGTGACAACGTGACATGACGTGACTTTGCTTTTGCAAATTGATCAATATGCTGGGATATGACTAATTTGTTGTGATTGATCTTCCGGTTTAGCTATTTTCTATGTAGAGATCAATATTGCGGAAAGAGATTTATTTTCATTAAAAACATAGTGTTTTCAATTCTAATGATCTGTGATCCCGATCTATTAGTTGACAGATTTTTTTTGTCAGATAGCCACCAGTTTCTAGAATGCTATCATTATGGATACGTTCCACAGAGTATGCAAATGATGTGCAAAGTGGAACCAATTCTTGTTTGATAGAATAGAATAGAATAACTAATTATTGGTTATATAAAATTATCAATCAATATTGTCAGTGAACATTTCACAAATGAAGAAAATTTCGTTCCACTGGAGAATGCGCTTGAATTACCAGAGGAAGATCCATCTGACCATTTTCTCAACTCTCATTGTTCAACCTTTGAAAATGTGAGAAGGATTGAAATGTGAAATTAAAACATTGTAAGTACTAGGCAGTGATTTGAAATTCTTTTATATCAAGGTAATATTCCAAACCTCTTTTCAAACCTAATGGGAACGGTTAGAGAGGTTAAAATGAAAGGCACCCTATATGGTGTAGCCAAGTATCAATAACGGTGGCAATTCAAACGGAAGGTAAACTTCAAATTGACTACTGTTGCATCAGTTAGTACATATGTTATTATCACCAATAAAAGAAAAAAATATAACGAAATGGAAACGTTGACATGCAATTCATTCTATTTCACAGTAGAAATCATATATTCTCTAGTTAGTCATAGGAATGAAAGTCGTTACTAGGTATAGGCGAATGAGATTAAGATCGTAGCGCCAGAACGGCGAATGTCGGTACTACTCTATGGGCCATTGGCGGATTGTTTACATTGTTTGGTAATGGGGTTTATGTTCATTTCGTTTTGAGTTTTCAAACGTTCAGCTTTGTTATTTGTCAATTTTCGAACTTTGTATTTTCCAGCGGTCTTTTGTGTTTTGATTGAGGACTATATTATCTCTGTTCAACATTAGATAACTTCCCTACCTCTAGTTGAACTTCATATATACCAACATACATAAGCTGTAAGTTTTTATCATTATTGAACAAGAATTCTCATGAAAACCTGTGTGGGATGTTGATTTCCAATTCGAATATATGGCTGGGATATTCCCCTGATAGCATGATATTTTTAAAAGAAAATCCAGCATATTTTTTTGGAATAAAATGTTCTTTCGAAGGTGAATTTAGGTATACAGTTTCTACTTGACTTTTTACAACATAATCATCAAAACCCTGTTTGATAAAATTCTTTACTGTTTAAAAATTCTACGTGTCATGAGTAAAAATATAATCAGTTTAAAATTTGTTTGTTTTTTTAACATGACCTAAAGAAGTAGGTATCATATTCATATTAGACATACATTTGAAAATATATGAGTACATTTTCAGTGAAGTGTAAAAAACAATATCTCATTATGTTCAGACACTTTTTCCAATCTTCAAGTTATGAATCCATACCTTTCTCCTACCGATCACTTCCTTGTTTCCCAAATTATTAGTTTCAAATAGGTACAAATTTAGACTGTCCTGATTTTTGAAAGGAATGAAAGCTGTACTCGGGATTTTTTTGTTCAAGATGAACAATCAGGTACACAACAATAATGACTCATGTTTTTAAACGTTTATAGAAGTTCTCAAACAAAATTATAGACAATTAATACACAACTAGTTCTCATACAAAATACACGCAAACTAATGTAAACAAAGCAATCAATGGCCCATACGTTAGTTATATTAGACAACGGTAGAGGGCGTACTCCTTAGCATGAATCGCCTATACAAACTCACCTGCAACTGGATATTTTGTTGCTATCACATCTGTGCACCTTCAAAGATTGCACCTCGGTATCTGACACGACGGCTAGTCTAGCTTCATCTTTACCGCCTTTGGCACCTCTCATTATTTTGATTCCTCGCACAGGCACGTGGCTCGGAAACACTTGGATTTCTTCAACGACTACCGTCCTGACACCGTGCCTGGAGTCAGCTGATAGACCGTTCACAGCTTTTATTACTTTACCATTATCTAAAGAAAATAATAATTATAAATAAAATGAGACAATATGTGAATTATATTTCATGCCACAGTAGTTCTAACTCTCTAGGTACCTAGTACATATACTATAATATAGGTAGAGGGTGTTCGAGTCACTATCTGCATCTTGTTTCACAACTCTCTATATGGTCCAAGAGCGGGCTGCAAATTTCACCGTCATCTGATAACGAAATTATCTATGTCTCAAAGGCAAGTAAAAACATTGTATTTCATCGAACGGCACCTGTGCCAATCACTATCCTGAGCAAGATGATTGAAAAATGGCACTTTTCTGTGCGGTAATTTGCACTTGATTTCGCGATTTCATGAAGAGATAAGAATTATGCCATCCGATAGCAATGGGGGACTTCGCTCCAAGTTGCCAACCTAAAAACCTCTACCAATGAAGAAGCAACATTATGGAAGTTTCATTACTCAAATGGCTTCATTTTGGTGAAATATGATTGTAGGAGTCTACTCAGTTTGCTAATGAAAGTTATTCAGAAGAAACATTAGTTTTTGTGAACAGCATATCTGACTGATTGAAAATCATGTTGGTGCATCTGCGGTACGTCAATACTGATATGTCAATACTTTCAATAGTGTCACAAGTGAAAATAGCATATCAATGAATCACGTTCGAATTTCGAATAATGATCAAGAAACTCTCAAGAGAAACGTGCAAACCTATAGTAGACTGGATGTGAGGGTTCTAAAGTTGTCTGGTCTGGGGCTACTCTCGACTCGTCGTAATGGTAATCAACATAACATTATTATTAGGGCTTTATTTTATTGTTGTTCATTTATATTTGTTCACTATCTATACTATCTCATGCTATAATATATATTGCGATGTTCGAATAGTCTTGTGATTTCAACTACCCTTAAACTATCTGTGTCTAATTATTTAAATAAAGGTAGGTTATTTTTATATTGTTGTATTCCGATATCTATTGGAAATTTTGACCAGTTTTCATCCAAGGTGAATTATGTAAGCTTTAAAAGAATTCTTTTAATGATTTCTTATCCCTATTGTTATTTTCTTACTAGAAAAATGCTCATTACATAGGTATGTTAGTGTTTTTATTTATATCGACTGTGATTTCTTCGTTTCCACACAGTTGTGTTTTCAACCAATCAAGGCTGTGTCTCACGGTCCAACAATTTACAATTTGATCAAACTACAGATCTGTGATGTCATCAGTGACGTCACGTCAAACAACAGCTGAAATTAAGAACTTGTTCTAAATAATTGTCATGTTGGATCAAATAATAAGGTTAGGATGTTTGTTTTCATGATGTTTTCTTCATTGATTATTATTTTATATCTTAGGAATTAACAAGAAATACTATCATTAATATTATCAATACTTCAAAAATGCCTGTCCTGGTAATTGGACTGAGGACCATTTCGTATAATTATAGGAATATTTTTGTCTTGCTCCGTTCCCAAATTAATACTTGGTTGACTAGAGACTTTGTTATGATCTCACCTCATTTCTGCAGGTATACGTTCACGCACATATATGGATTGATATAAATCTGAAACATCTCCCATCCATTCTTAGGTAGACTTTATCAAAAATCATCTCATCTACCAATATTTCTTCTCTGAAGCCATTATCTTGTACATATCTTTTTTTTTAAATCACTTATTTGTATTACAAATACAACACAAAATACTTTTCATTGTAATGAATTTTTATTTAATTTTTCCTTGTGATTCTTCTCATTTTAGAGAACCTACACTTGACCAATGTTTTTGTTCAAAAGTCTTCGAATTGTGTGACAACGATTTCTTTACATTTCAAACCATTTGAGTCAAACAGGCAAGAATGACGTCACATCAAACAAATTTGATCAAATTGTTGGACCGTGGGACACGGCCTTTCGACACTTCTTTGGGTAATTTTTCATTTCAGGATAGGGTTGAAACTTCATTGTTTCATTCTCATGTCATGTATGGATCGATTTTTAGTACTCAAATGAAATATATTCTTTCTTCCTACTGCAAAGATCAAACTTCTTTACCAAAGAATGATAAAGCGTAATAGTGTTCTTCATAAATGAAATAATCTTGAAAATATTACAAGAATGCGACAAGTAAAAAAAAATTACGACGATATGACATATTTCAGAATGTATGCATCAACATAATTTTCAACTAATCAGAACTCGAGATCACAAAAACAGATTTTTGTTCTGAATAACTTTCATTAGAAAGCTGAGTAGACTCCTACAATCATATTTTCCCAAAAAAAAAAAAAACAATTTGAGTGATAAAACTTCCATAATGTTGCTTCTACATTGGTAGAGGTTTTTAGGTTTGCAACTTGGAGCGATGTCCCCCATTGAATGGTAGATCTCAAAAACTTACCTGTGCCACCTCTCAATCTGAGTCAAATCCACGACACAACGATATATTTGCTGCCGTTATTCCCGACATACTGTCGTCATGTGATAACGAGTTGAAACAAACAGCAAATGAAAGGAAATAATGTCCCCTTTGTGATTATCTAAACGGGCCGTGATTTAAACTGAGCTAAGTTAGTGGCAGAGAGTCAGTATTTACGAGAATATTTCGCCCCTTTCGAAAGATAATATCTGCTGGACCAGTGTAAAACTCAACATGTGGATTCGAATGCCTGTAGTGCGAGCACCACATGAGTTTCACAGTGGTCCATCGGATATTATCTTTCGACAGCGACGAAATATTTTCGGAAATACTGACGCTCTGCCACTGAGTTAGCTCAGTTGGAATTGCGGCAAGTTTTGGATTCGGCTCAGATTAAGGGGTGGCACAGGTAGGTTTTTGAGATCTAATATTCAATTAGTATCGGATGGCATTTATTTATTTATTTATTTATTTATTTATTCGAAATTTGGGATACTAACAGGTTGTTACCCATACAAGCATCCACTAATACAATCCGTTACAGAGCAGAACATTCATGTCTTAACAAATACAAAAATACGCCTAATTACATAGGAGGTATGAAAATGACAATCATATATACGATAAGGGAAAAATAGTAAGCATTTTCATTAATGAATACTAATTACTCATCATCGTGATATTAGGAGATAAAAATATTTTTTGTAATTCTTTTAAAGGAATATAAAGATATGGAAAAAATGTTTACATCATTGCAATATTTGTTGAATAAATCACACATTCTGGTCATTGGAGAATTTTTACCTAAAGGACCCCGCACTTTTTCTATATAAAAATGGCGTTCCGTCGAATTTCCCCAATTTTTGGTAAATGATAGTACTCGACATACTGATTGAATATGCCAAGTCCCAACTCAATCCTATGACTAGTTTACGAGATACAGGGTGTTGAAGTTGAAGAATACCTAATTTTTCTCGGCCTATATCTCTAAGATAGGACAAATGAATTCCAATTTTTCGGGAGCACGTAATAGTTATGCCCTTAGGCGCAAGAACTATATAGGTATTCGACCAAAACTGATTTTTATTACAGGGTGATTCTCATTTCAAATAATGTGTTTTTTTGAATATCTGAATATCAATGCTACAAATTGATAACAATTACAAAATGAGATTTATAGACAAGTATGCTCTTCTTACATCATTTGAATTCGTAAAATATAATAATTATACATGGTGTTTCATTAATGCTGTTGATTGCATAATTGGTCTATCCTAAAGTTCATTGGGCCACCTCGTATTATCGGGTTGATTCCAGACATTCAAAATATTTTTGAAGGATGTATCCCAATGAGTTCCATGATATACAGAGTGATTCATCGATTGAAAAAATTGACAACCACGAAAAAATATTCAAAAACCACTATTTTTTTCATCACCCTCTAATTCGAAATTATTACCGTCGATGTAAGATTTTTTTCCACCAATATACTCAGTATGGATATTTCAATCAAATTGGGAATTTTCAGACCCATGCTATGACTAGTTTTTTTTATACATCGAATAATGTGAAAATAATTATGGAAAAGTAATTACATAATAACACGAAAAATTGCTCCGAATCGCAAAACTAGTAGTCACTAGTCAACTATGTCAAAAAATGTGATTTGTTCGTAAACAAAATCTAGTGGTCTTATTATAGGTCCGCTAGCAAAACATCTCGAAAATGTTTTTCAGAAAACATCAAACAAATCACAATATGCCCCCGAAAAAATCTCATCAACGACACAACTATTCTACGCACCCCTTTCATCAACTTTCAACTCATCAACGATCCCACTCATAAACGTGCTAAAACTCATGAGCGTTCGAAGTCGACAGCGGTTTTTCCCAACTCAATCCTATGACTACTTTTCGAAAAAAGTATGAAACTAAACTTCCGCAAACGCCTAGTAAGAGGTGCGCGTTAATATATTTTGCAACTCTCCTATATCCAACCAACTTCCAATCTTTTGACCATACTGTATATTGTTAGAATCGAAGTTAGTATATGCACATCGCAAAGACACTAAAGTTGGAGTTTTGGTTATGTAGATATTCGTTACCGGGTTCAGTATAGGCCTGAAAGAAAAATGTCAATTAAGAATTTCAATCACAGATTTTGAAAAAATAGACAAACCAACTCGTTTCCCCACCACCTGAGAGGTAGAGTTTCAGGCGCGTTTTTTTTATTGTGGTATCCCCTGTAGGCCTAGTCCACGTTAGAAAGTGAAAGTTCCAATACCTATAATATGATTGTGTGTAGGCAGGATTGGCGCAGTGGACGAGCACCCGAGTCAGGACTGCGGGGTCGTGGGTTCGATTCCCAGACAGCGCAAGGAATTTTTCGAATATTAATATACGAATTAAATATTGTGAAGTTTCGGAGCATCGGCTGGGGATAGTCCTGCACGATTCACTGTTGCGTGCCTACATACAATATAGATACATGTTCAGAACACTATGGGCTAAAGGACCTCATTAGGGATCGATGGTTGGTTGGTATGTACATACCTACCAACGAAGGACATATACTACTACTACTACTATAATTATGT